CGCCATGTCTGGGCTATACGCCGCGTGCGGGAGAAGTTCCCAGCTTAACGCAAAGATATGATCCTGAGTCGCTTTCGCAACATGTGGTCGAGCATTGTCATGAAGCAAGATCACTTTACGACGTCCTTGGCCAGTAAATGGCCTCTTTTCTTCTAATGCATCGCTCAAATTGGTCAATTGTTGTTGGTAGCGGTCTGTCGTGATTGTTTCACCCGATTGTAACAACTCGTAATACAACACACCTTTCCAATCCCACTAGATACAGAACAAAATCTTCTTGGCGTGGATATTGGGCTTTGGCATCGATGTCGAAGGTTGACCAGGGTCAACCCATGATTTTCTACGTTTAGGGTTATCATAAAGAATCCACTTTTCATCGCCTGTAATGATTTTGTGCAGAAAATCTTTTTTCCAGAACTTTGAAAGCACAGTGAGTGCAGTGTCACGCCGACGATTTTTGTTGTCTTCGGACAATTCATGTGGAACCCATCTGCTTCCCTTCCTTCTGAATCTTTCCCATCGTATGTAAACGTACGGAAATAGTTTGCTGCGTAATGCCAAGCTGTTCTGCAAGCTCCTTTTCAGTTTGCGCAGAGTTTATATCCAGTAGTGTTTGCAATTCGTCCGTTTCAATCTTTTAAGGGCGTCCAGCACGCGGTTCATCTTCAAGACTGAAATCTCCTTGGCGTAATTTTTGATACCATCTTTTACATGTAGTATGACTTACAGCGTTCTCTCCATATGCAGCATAAATCATTGCAGTGGCTTCAACAGCATTTTTCTTCAGCTGAAACGCGAAGTGGATGGAAAATCGAATATGCTCTTTTGTTATTGCCATCGTGAACACTACTGATTTTTGAGGTTATGTGCATCAAACGCCAAACCGTATGGCATTTTAGAAGATCAAATATCAACGCTTTAAAACAGTAAAAGGGAAGGCGGGAAGATATATAAAATTTAAATTGTTATTTCGGTTGTATGAAATCTAAAGCTCAGAACTTTTTTGTACATCTAATACAATTGAGGTCTCTTCTAAAGGAAAGGCAATAGGTCTGGGAGCAGGAGTTTTTGCTGGGATAGAAGTATATATAATTTCTGATTTAGTCTTTTTAGGATTACCGCCACTCTCTAGATCAAGATTGTAGAGAACGTCTATTTTAGCCTTGTCGGCCTTAGACCTCGTAGTCATTACCGTCTCCAAAAATCCCACTTATCATCCCGGAGCTCCCAAATTTCTGTTATTTGTTACGTTCAGCCCGAGATAATTATTTTAAAGAGAAAATATGAATGGGCTAGGAAAGACGCTCCAAATACCCTCTCGCAAATAGGCACGCTAGGGCATTTCTACGAGTCGGACGCACCGTGCAGATCCACGAGTGCGAGTCAACGTCTTGAGAAAGACGCTATGACTCCGACTGCGTGACGTGCGTCCGTCGGTCCGTAATTTAGGCAAGAGAATTTAATCTCTTTTGCCAGGGACAGGACCATGTGCGAATCTTGGGATAGGGGAGAACGAAAGAGGAAAGAAATAATTAAACGTCAAATAAATTTAATTTTACATATAATTGATAATTTTAAACGAATACAATTTTAACAAACCTACAAAGATTTATGTGATCATTACTTCTAGTTTTCAAGTACATTTGCTTAAGGTGTATTTACATTGTTCGTGTGTGTGAGTGTGTGTTATTTTTGATGATGAATTACAGAGGATTACGGTGTAATCCTGATCTTCTTCCAGGGGAGGAGTTTCTAAATCCCGAAGGAAGATTTTTTCAATAGGTCAAAAGGAAAAGAATATTCTTCTTGTTCTCAGGGACTTGGAGATAGGTCGCTAAAATCTAGGAGAGGGAATTGTGTGGGAGGATCGTGATTCAGGTGAATAATTGGGCTATAGGGGAAAAGGGGCGATTCAGGGGTTCGCAAGGGGCGTCGAAGAAAGGGCGAGCAGAAGGTTTGGGGAGAGAGTCTGAACCTGGAATGGTCGTATAACCGGTTCCGCGGTTTTTGTGAAATTCTGGCTCAATTCCCTCGTGATGTTAGTGGCCGCTCGTCGAGCCCGTCTATTTCGCCGATTTCTCAAACATTTCAGGAAACATTTAGATCGTGGCGGTTTCGAAGTTAATACCTTGGGTTTCACTAGAAAAACAAGTGAGTCAGTAAGGAGAGAAGAAAGCAGTATTAAGCGAAAAAGATTTAGCGATTATTCGATTACCATGAACCTTCCAGAGCCTTCCTCGAAATTCGCAAACCCTCAAGGTCCACAGCGATTAGTGAAAATAAGAAGAAAAGAAAGATTTGCCAATTACTCGGCTACCATGAACCTTCCAGGGCCTTCCTCGAAATTCGGAAATCCTCGAGGTCCACAGCGGTTAGTAAAAGTGAGAAGGAAAGAAAGAGGAGGAGAAATATAAGGAGGAAAAGCAAATAGAAGAGACGTAAGACGTGAAAGAGAAATAAGAGAATATAAGGAGAAGAGACCCGAAAAATTGTTATTCGAGAATTATGTAAATTGAACTTACTGTTACTTAGTTAACAGGAACTTGAAAACCGAAGGAGCGATGGTAGTAGAAGTGGTGTCGTCAGGAAGACTTGCTCATTGTTTAATTAGGTTATGCGTTGACACCAAAGGTATAATCGAGTGAAAAAAAAGAACTAGGTCGAACTGAATGAAAGGAACAAGTGCTCTGATGTCTTTAAGGGCGCTATATGTGTGTGTGTGTGTGTGTGTGTGTGTGTGTGTGTGTGTGTGTGTGTGTGTGTGTGTGTGTGTGATTTCGTTGAGGAAAACATCTGTACACTTGTTGTTCTTCCGCGATTAGAATAATGGGAATTATCCGCTTAGCCGAATTCTAGTATCCCCGGAAGAGATCAGTTGCGTAATCGTCGCGATGTAACAGCGTAACAGAACATGTGTCACCCGTTTATCCGCTTAATTAAATTCTAATAACTGATACCCAAAAGAGAAGAATCATGCAGTCGTCACGACGTAACAATTTTAATAATATAAAATTGTACATATTTTCTTTAATAAGATGTGAGCCATCTTATTTTATGCATAAACTCTAGAATCTTAGTATTAAGTGTAAAAATTAGACGATCGTAAACAGTCATGAAAGAGATTCGGAATATAAACAGCTAACAGAGAGGAGTCGTCGCGGTCGTGCAGACTAAGTGTCTTGGTAGGCGAGGGATCCCGAGTTCAAATCCAGTCGGTCTCCGCTTATTTTTCCGAATCTAATAAATATCTTTGAGCTCAGAAGTGGAATTCAGCCCGTTCCCTCACAGAGAGAGAATTTCTCATAGGAGAAGCGCTTCTGCACGAAATAGCCATTTTCGCCTTTCTTTGCGCCACGTGCTAAGCAATCGGCTCTTTCGACGGCCATTTTCTGATCACTCTACATTTTGGTGAGTCGTATTTTATTAAGAATGGACCGCAAAATCTTAGATGATATGAGCATGGAGCAACTCCAAGAGGAGGCTAAGAAACTAGACTAACTAACTCAATATCATAGATGATCGAAATCGCATAATTGATGCGTTGATGACGTACCATGAAAGGAATAGTCTGGTGGCGGATCTCCTTCCTCGTTCAGCTCCACCGAGACTTGATCACACTTTTACATTCGCTACTCCAATAAATGCCGCACCTCCGAATAAATCAAGTATCAGAAAGCCGTGGCTAGTGAGGTATTAGCCATGGCATCGGCAATGATGCAGCCGTTGATTCAGTTGCAGCAGCAAATGTTGCAGCAACAACAGTTGCAACAGCAAACGCTGCAGCAGCTCATGGCAATTATGGCTAAACAAGTTGTTCCAAATGAACCTTCTGTTCAGGAAAATGTTATACAATCGCCGGGCAATCGAGAATCTTCAAGTCATTCGGTACTCGCAACGGCGATCTCAGCACGCGCTGTTTCGCTTTTAACCTCTCAGATTCCGGAGTATGGAGGCGGAGAAAACAAAAACGTTATTCAATAAGTACGGAGAGTGAATCAGGTATCTCAAATACATCGTATAATTGACGGAATAACTTTATTGGCAGCCTCAGATAAATTGACTGGCACAGCAAAAAGATGATACCACATACAGTCTGGTTCTGTGTTGGAGTTATGGAGATGCCTGAAAGAAGAATTGATTAAAATGTTTAATCGTAAAGTACCATTTCATGTGGCAATGCAAAGAATAGAGGCGAGGAAATGGCAATATCTTAAAGAAACGTTTGATCACTACGTTATGCATTGGCTTTAGCGTATCGATTAGATCTGGAGCAATCTGAAATAATTAACTTGTTAATAGGAGATATAATGAAAAGCTTTTTGCGCTCTCACAATTTAGGCTGACACAATGGATTAATTCCTGAAAAAAAATGAGACAAATTACCGAGGGAATTGAGGAGTTGGAAAAGAAAGACAGATTCCAGAGCAGAATAGGAAAACTAAGAAGCAATCCAAGTAAAAATTTTGAAGATAGGAGTCACTCATCGAAGAATCGTGTCCAGCAAGAGATATGTTTTTACTGTAAGGAGAGTGGACATCGAATTGCCGTGTGCCCGAAACGCCAACGGAGGAACTCGTTTTTTCGTGGCAGCCCCGACTGACAACCACGCAAAGTGCTGTTGCTGCGGAATCAGCAGAGGAATCAGCGAAGGATGTGGAGCAATTCACCGTCGCAGCCGTTGCTGAATCACTTGCAAATGGGATAAAGATATGTAATCCTTTCATTAAAATTATTTCAATTAATAATATTGCCTGCGATGCGAAAGTTCTTGTAGACACTGAAAGCTCGATTTCGTTAATCTCTAATCGCTTGATTTTTTGTATCTGTGTTTTGTAAATTTCTCGTTGCTTAATTTAAAACCGGAACTACGTACGTTCGATGGCAAATACTCCGATTCATATTTTAGGCAAAAGTACTTTTGAAATTAAATTGGAAAGTTATCCAAATAGAACTATTAAACTTACCTGCCATGTAATTGTGTCTGAGTTTCCAAGCGTGCACATTATCATCGGCCGTGATTTCCTAGAACGTGAAAAAATTACGTTAATTTATGAACCAACTAATGTAAACTAGAATAATAATAAATTACAGCTATTATTGCCGACAGAAGTTTATTTCTTAGATTCCGATATCAGTTCGATTCTTGATGATTGTGAAATTGATTTTAATTGGTCTGTTAATGCTTAAAAGAAATAATTATTAAATGTGAAGAAATAAAGTTACCTGTGGTTGATGATGATTATTCGGTTAAAGTATTCTTGAAAGATGAATCTACGTATGCTTATGTGCCCCGAAGATTCGCGTTTCAGGAACGCATCAAAATTAGGAAAATTATTGATAATTTATTACAGCGTGGAATCGTTAAACCCAGCGTTTCGCCATATTGCGCACAGGTAGTACCGGTAAAGAAAAAAAACGGAAAATTAGATTGTGCGTCGATTTGCGACCGTTAAACGCTCGCATTCAAAAACAGAAATATCCCTTTCCAATAATCGAAGATTGCTTGTCAAGACTTAGTAGTAAAAAAATCTTTACATTATTAGATTTGAAGGATGGTTTCCATCAGATTAAAGTGCATCAAGATTCAACTAAATATTTTTCATTCGCGATGTCCGACGGGTAATACAAGTATACGCGCTTACCATTCGGATTCTCAGAATCTCCGGCAAAATTCCAGAAAAGGATAGTACAAATTTTGTAATCTCTCATCTGGGAAGAAAAATTAGTATATATTGACGATATTTTAATTCCCACGGAAACCGTCGAACAGAATCTAGAAATTATAAAAAAAGTGTTATTATTATTAAAAACTTATGGCTTTGAGCTGAATTATCGAAAGTTGTTTTTTGCGGCGCCGGATTGAGTATTTGGGTTATATAATTCAAAAAAATGAGATTACCATGAGTCCCCGTCATACTCAAGCAATATTCGATTATCCTCGTTCGAATACCGTTCACTATGTACAACGTTTCTTGGGACTTGCGAACTATTTCCGTAAATTTATCAAAGATTACTCGTTAATAGCAAAACCGATGCAAAACCTATTTAGAAAATCGGCTCCGTTTGACTTTAATGAAGAAAATGCGTTACGGCTTTCGAAAAACTAAAAAAAGGCCTAAGTGCATATCCGACATTACGCATTTACAATCCGCCAACAGCCACTGAATTGCATATCGATGCGAGCATCAATGGACTCGGTGCAATTTTGTTACAACGTCAAAATGACGGCAATTGGGCACCATTGGACATCGGTAGCTTATTATAGCCAATCGGTAAATAAAGCGAAGGCTATCGTTCGAGTTGAAAATGTGAAAATGATTGTACGTGCAGTAGAATATTTTCGAATATATTTATACGGCATTAACTTTACAATAATTACAGACTGTAATGCGCTAGTTTACGCGATAAACAAAGCTAATTTGAATCTTCGCATAGACCATATAACGTTCATCTCGCGAGATGGACATTAACAGGAATATTCGTTTAAAATAGCGCATCGTTCCGGAAAACGTATGCCACACGTCGACGCTTATTTGAGCCGGCAAATAATGTTTATAGAATCTCTTCCATTAGAAAGAGAATTAGAATTCCGACAGTTGCAAAATCCGCGTCTCCAAGAAATAGTTAATAACTTGGAATTTGGAGAAAATAAAAATTTTGAAATGGTGGAAGGCTTGATCTACAAGAAAAGCGGAGATCGTTCTCGCTTTGTCATACCGGAAGATATGATTAATATAATAATCCGTACTTATCATGATAATTTGGCACACTATGGTATGAAAAAACTTTTCAAAGCATTCACGACACGTTGGTTTCCGTCAATGCGCAAGCGCATTCAGGACTACATTGATAATTGTATCACTTGCTTAGTAACAAATTCATCAACTCATCGTTTCGAAGGCGAGTTGCAAATTAAATCTGCACCAATGTCTCCTTTTGAAATTATACATATAGATCATTTCGGACCATTAGAAATCATCGACGACAATTATAAATTCATATTTGTAATAATAGATGCGTTTACATGTTTTACTTGGTTATTTCCGACAAAAACAACGAATTCGAGAGAAGTCGTAGTTTGATTATAAACTTTGTTTAATATAATTGCTCTACCTTCGGAAATCGTTACTGATAGAGGCACAGCGTTTACATCTCAGGAATTTCAGGATTTTCTAAATAATTTAAATATTAAATTAAGATAAGTCGTAGTAGCTTCACTCTGGGCCAATGGTATAGTGGAACGAGCAAATCGGTTTAAAAGTTCATTAGTTAAAACTGTAGAGTCACGATTGGACAAACGATTGGAAAAATAAATTACAAACGATTCAATATGTGGTTAATAACACATATAATTCAGCGATAAAAGCTTCGTCATCGAAGATGTTATTCGGTTTCGAACAGAAGGGTCGTGAAGACCAACATATAAAAACGTTACTAGTTGAATTAACAAAAACAAATTCCTTCGAGGAACAAAGGGAACAAGCAAGAGATTTCACCATTGAAGCAAATGAAAAACTTCGTCAATACAATAGAGCCTATTATGATAATTGCCACAAGACACTTTCGAAATATCGAGAAGGTGATTTCGTTCTAGTTAGAAACACGCAAAGTAAGATCGGTATAATTCTAAACTCAAGCCAAATTACAAAGGCCCATACGTGATCGTCAAGGTCTTAAACAAAAACAGGTATGTTGTCAAAGACATTCTGAGTTTCAATATCATCACACAGAAGGTTTATAATATTATATCATTGCCAGATAAACTAAAGCCATGGATCAAGTCTCTTACCACGAATACTTCAAACTAGAACTTGTGTCAACTGCGCTTAAAAATTGACATTTAAATGTGATAATAAAATAATGCTAAGGATTTGTGCATTGGCATTGTTTCTTTATCTGTTATTTGTGTTAATACTTATATGTTTATTAGTGTTAATTAGTGATTACTTATTGTAGTGTTAATCGGTTAATTAGTTATTATAATGTTTATTAAATTGTTACTTATACATGGCTATTAATATTAATTTCTCTATTAGTTAAGTATCATAAAGTTTAAATATCTCATTATCTTTTCCTGGTTATTTGCGCTGTATTTAGTTACAGCATTTGGTTACGTTTGTGTCTTTTTCTTTATCAATTAGTTGAACAAGTATCCGATACATCAGCAGTATTGATCGTTACTAGTCATAACTAAATTTTTACATAGATTAAGTGCGTTAGTTATTAAATGCGATAGCAAGTAACTGTCAATTCGTATTATTGTTAATAATATTTCATAGTTATTAGTTTCAGTGACCATAGTGCCAAAGAGTGAAAGCATTAACATGTTGTAAATCTACACGCTCGATTTCAGCTCTGTTTCAGTTGGTGATAAAGACTCCGTACATTCGGAACAAATGTATTGCCAGGATAGTCGAGCTAAAATATTTAAAAATATTTAATGTTTAATGTAAAATATTTAATGATTACACCCGGTATATAAGACCGATCGCGGTCATTACCGGAGTTACTGACGCTCGGAGCAAGTCACCTGACTCACACGTCACGTTCGCGCATGCGAATTACTTCAATTACCGGAGTAAGAAATCGGAGCTTTTACGAGAAAAGTCGAGCCTCGTGATACTTAATTTTCAGCAGCCTTTTGATAAGCAAGTGTAATAGACTCCAGTGCGCTAATAGTATCGTTCGGCAGTAATATCGCATTCGTGATACGTTTAATTCCAAGTATCGTTCGGCGAGAAATCGCATTCGTGATACGTTTCGGAAAAAGTATCGTTCGGCGACAAACTGCATTCGTGATATATTCATTAAGACATTGTTCAGCGAGAAGTCGCTTAATAAACCTGTAAAATTCGTACGCGCTAAATACAGTTCGGCGAGAAGTCGAATATATATTAATATTTTTGTGAACATTAAACATTACTTGTCCGTTTGTAACTGGCTGACGTTTTTATCTGTGATAAATAAACTGATTTTGTGTTGTGTAAAAGAACTTCTTTATCCTACCATCCTTATTCCATTCACATTAAACGCGAATTGAAGTTTGGAAATTTAAAAAAAAAAAAAAAATAATTCCTATAGCTCAGAAGTGGGATACAGCCCATGTTACCTCAAAGAAGATATAGCTCATGTTACCTCAGAGAGGATACAACTTATGTTACCTGACAGGGAGATTTCAGTCGATTTGTGTGTCGTTTGTGTGTTGTTCGAAATGAACGAATTCGGGGAGTAAAAATACTCCAATTCAGTATGTGTCGTTCTAGATAAACGAACTCGGGGGCAGAAGCTCCAAGTTTCGGATAAATTTTCGGTAGATGAAGACTCGGTACATTCGGGATGAATGTAATGTCAGAATGGCCGAACTGTAAGAATTAGACGACCGTAAGCGCTCATGAAAGAGATTTGGAATATAAACAGCTAACGGAGAGCCGTCGAACACGGTTGTGCAGACTAAGTGTATACTTGATAGTAGGTGAAGGATCCCGAGTTCAAATCCAGTCGGTCTCCGTTTATTTTTCCGAATCTAATAAATATTTTTCATAAACAAATACATCAACTAATAACTGTTCGCATGCCATAAATAACTAATATTAAATTTTTAAGTTTTTTAAAGTTGTGTACGTTTTTGACATTTTTTAAAAGATATGGCTCACCTATTCATTTTTATAATTGTTCATTTTCATAATCGTGTGAAAAAAAATTCTGTAATATTATAAAGTCGATCCAAAGATCGTTTTCTAATAAAAAGTCTTGGGTAATTGGTTAGATTCTCTTAAATTTAACATTTAACATTCTCTTAAAATTAACATTTAAAAAATTTAATTCTAACGACTCATAGTACAAAAAAAATTGTAAAATTATGTTTTCGCAACATTTTTGTTAAATAAAAAATATAAATTATAAATAAAAATAGACCATCGAAATCATTTGTGAAGAATTCTATAAAATTCTAATAAAGTATGATTAACGATCACCTTAATACATCGACGTAATATTTATACGCTGCGTTTTATTAATCGATTTTTTTAATTATACACACACAGACATGCATAATATAATACTATATTACTTTATGTTTTACTATGTTAAGAAAATTAAGGTTTCCATCACAAAAGAACATTAGCTGGATTCGAGAAACATGTTATTAATACTATCACACCTTTCTATTCTTAACTATCTAATGGTCGATAAAGATAGAATAATATAATAGCACGTCCCTCGAATGCAATCATCTAAAATACATCATTACTTTTTATTGAGGTGCACTTTACAATTGCAATTAATTTATAATAAATAATCCAATTCAGAACTTTAACATATTATTTCATGATAGTTTGGAAATTATAAGTTTATGTGCTTTTAAAAGAGATACATTTAAAGAAATAAAAATTTGTATATATGTAAACTCGCGGATGAATAAATATAAAAAAAGATGTGATATGAGAATACAATTTATAATAATTAATAACGAATTCTATTTTTACTGCAAAAATATCTTTTTTTAACACTAGACTTTGTATTTCTTTTAAAATTAATTATTTTCGAACTTATTTAAGAGATTATATATAGTTTAAGATAAATTTTAGGAAGAGATTTTCAACTCACATAAACTAAATCACACATTTGTTAAAAAGAAAAACTCTTTTTGAATATAATTAGAAAGTTGAAGTATAAAAATATAAAGTAATATTTAATTACTAAATTAATTGCTTAATCAATATCAATTACATATATATATATAAATATACATGGCAGTGAAAGAATATAGACATAAAATTTGAGCAACTCCTCAGTATTCATTTATACATAATAATAAATTTCACTCTTTTTAAATGAATATTAATAATTTGTTAATATCAATATAAGTCATTAGATCTTTTACTAATCAGAATTCTATTTTTTATACAATGCACTTAAAAAAATACTTGTCAATACTTATCATATTAAAATTGATAAACTAATACTGATAAACATATCTGAGTTTCATAATTATATCTGAGTTTCATAAAATGAACTAAACAGACAGATTCTAAAAAAAATCAGTGCTTAAGAGACGACCTGTAAAGAAAATTTTATATTACATGTCTTACAATAATTATACATAATATTATAACACAGAAATTATACAAAATTATATTTAAAAAATTATTTTTGTTAAATATAATATTTGATATTATTTCTACTTTACCTTTTTTGAAACCCGTACATGCTTAATAAACTTTGTTGTTTGGAAAGTGATGTCAATTGTTTATTTTGACGTAATTGATTCTTTTTTGTTATTGAATTAGCTTGTAATACCTAAAACAAAGAGATACATTTTACAAGAAATTAATAAATATATTTACTATTAATTTATAGATGTTTATATATATATATATATTTTTACCAGATTCGGTCGTTTCTTAAATATATCTCTTTTATAGGATATTTGATCATTCTCTGTATGTGACCATTTGGATAAATCATTTTGTAAACTAATTGCATTTTCATAATTAGTTAAGTCATCATTATTAATTGCTATAATAGAATTTGATGATACTAAACAATTATTTGAAGCATAACCTTTTTCAATTGTTGTACAATGTGTCATTAATATATCAGTTATTCCATTGTTAGAATATGAACTTCTAGAAACATCCTTGTTAGTTAAACATTTGTTTTGATTTAATGAAGGTATATTATTAATAATTTCTATCAAATTTGCATTTTCTACAACGTTTGTTATAGATGTTTTTGATTTTTCTTGATTTATTTTATGTACATTTGTGTCCATATTTGGAATGGTATTATGTTTTGTACTTTTCAAGTTAATTTTACTTTTCTTATTTTCTGATTCAAATATATCATGCTTTTTATTATCTTGCTTTGAAAAATATTTACTTTCTATCACATCATTTTCATTTATGATAGTTCGTCTCATATGCATTAAATTCCTTCCTTTTTTTCGACAATTTCCATTGAACAAAATACTTGGTGAAGTTGTAGGATCAGATACTTGTTTAATAAATGGATTTCTTTGTCTAATTAATTCTGGTGATGTATTATCATTTGCTAAACGTAAATAGTTTTTTGATTCTTTTTTAGGACTAACAATTAGTTTAGCATCTTGATTTGAATTATACATATCCAACATAGCAGTTTCATTTAAATCTTGACATTCTGAAAACCTATCATTTTGTATAATTAAATCATTATATGAATTTAATGAAATATACATATCCTTTATAGAAACTCTTTCTTTACTAAGTTTTTTTCATTATCAATTGATAATTTCACTACGTTTTCGGGAGAGCAGATCTGATATTTCATTTTTAATTTGTATTTGTCTGACCAAATGCTGGTTTGAATCATCGTTACGTCTTTTATTTCTACATCTCGTTTTCTTTTTCGTTCCTATAATGTATAAAAATATAATGTAAATATTTAAAATTTTTATTACTAGACTTTACAAACGTGCGCTGCTCGTGTGCTATTTATCTTTTTCAATACAAGAGCAAAAATTAATATAATATTATTATACTACTATTACACTATAATATTTTTAACTTCTTGATACAATTGTCAAAACGATCCTCGCTGTAAGATTAATGCAATGACAGCTATATCACGAAGTTTGCGCAGCGAGAGAACCAATCAAATTATAATATAAACAAATGATATATAATATACTATTTGTATTATATTTAAAATCACGGAAAAGTATCAACAATAAACTCCGAGAATTTCGAGAGATGCGAGTATCGATTTAATATGCCTTCTTTTAAGAAGGATTAGAATATCGTACTCTGTATTCATTATTATTAAATCATTATTTCTAAAGATTATCTATTATATAATTTTGTAACAATTAATTACTTACATTTTTGTCCGGATTAAAATTATGAACCATTTTTAAAGTAACTGGATCGCAATTACCAAGAGCTAATTGTAAAGCTAGATCTGCATCTAATTCCTTTCCAGCATATTGCAATTGATTTTCAGTAATATCAGGCGGAGGTAAATTTAATCGTATTTGCTTTCTTTGTAATGGACAGAACACCAATTGATATTTAAAAGTTATTTCAGCTAATATAAAAGCATCTCTATATTCCTGTGTCACAACTAATGATTTCATATTCAGCACCGGTCCTATGCGTGTCAATGCCTTAAAAGATATTAAGGATATATTATATCTATTTTTATTTACAATGAAAAAATTCTAGATTTTAAATCACATTTAAAAGTAATACAACAAATTTTATGACGGTTGGGAATTTAAATAAAAAATTATTTAAATATAAAGTAAAAATGTATTTTAATAGAAATATATTTAAGAAATAATGTAATTAAGAAATAATGATAAAAATTTCAATTTTTTTATATAAATACTTTAGATATTCATGATAATGTATGTAGTTTTGAAACAACTAATTTTTGCTAATTATCTAAAAAAATTAGTTGTTTCGTAAATAAAAATTTAATTTTTATTTAGAATACAAACGAAACGAACAATGGTAAAAATAAAAATTTTTATTTACAAAACTAATCTCTGCATTGCAACTTTACGTAAATAATCTTGAACATTTGAAGTACTTATATAAAAAAATTGAGATTTTGTCATCAATTTTTTAATTACGTTTCCATTAAAGTACACCTCTTATTTATTTAAATTTTTTATTCAGGTTTTAAACCACCGTTAAACTTTTCTGTATTATCTTTAAATGTGATTTAGAATTTAAGTTTTCACAATTTTTCACTGTAAATGTAAAAATATAGATTAGAAAAATATAGATATATCTTTAACATTATTTGAAATCAAACAAACTATATTATATTTCAGTTATTACAAAAAAAATCCTTTTCTCTCTCTTTATCTCTCATTTATATAAAATTCTTAGTCTATTTCTTTTATTGTTAGAATTTGGAAATGATGTAACAACTAACTCTGTATATATTATTATCTGTATTTCTTGTAATAAATTTTCGTGCTTTTGCCAAGCCAATACCAGGGAGAGAAGGAAGATAATCACAACCAGATAAAATACAGATATGGCGAAACTTATCCATGTCAAATTGTTCAGGTTTCATATTCATTGCTAAATATAATCGGTCTTGTTCGATCAAAACTCCATTTCCATTAAAATCCATTTTGAAAAATATCTATAATAAAACAGCAAAGTTTTTTCATTGATTAAAAAAAATAAATAATATAATATATAATATTTAATAATTGATATTTGTAATTTAAAAGAATTTTTTAAAACTAATTTAATCATGCATATTCAATGCAATATACCTGTATGTAGACATTATTATAAAGATATTATTCATATTATTTACATGATTTATACATGTGTGTGTGGGAGGGGGAGGGGCGCGTTAAAACACAACACTGATTAGTAGATATACAAGTATAAATACAAATATAAGTATAGAATCAGAAATTATGCAAAGCTCTAAGGCAGGGATTAAAGACAAATAAATAAATAAATATTCTTTTGATAAAATTATCATATCGTGTGATTAATAATTTCATAATAGTTTTATTTTTAACAGATTAAAAATTTTCTTAATATAAAATTTTTTAGTAAAATGTATATAATTCTCAAGATTTAAGAAATAGAAGAAAATAATTTTTAAAATTTTGATGCATTGCCTAGATAATAAAACCAAATCCTTTAGTTAATTTTATATAGAAGTATAGTTATAAAAGTAATGTTGTAAAAATAATGTTTAAAATTGGAATTTACAATTAAAAATGAAATATAGTAAATATTTTTTTATCTTTCTGGATAATATAAAATTCTTTTTGTAATATACAGTATAAAATAATTAATATAAATTATGAGTTACTTTCTTAGACTCTATTAAAGACTTACAGAAAGATTAACAGAATTCTTTTAGATATGTTGGGATTTTAGTGGAATTTTTTCTTTATATATTACTGTTGAATTTTCAAAAAGATAATAGAAAAATCTACTTTCTATTTTTAAGTAAAAACTCATATTTTTTAATACATTTTAAGTTAATGTAGTCTTTTCTGTAAAAAATTATTATAAAATTATGTTCAAAAATTGTTTAGAAATTATCTTATATTTTATTCTGATATATTCTCTCATTCAGACTAACTTCCTTTTGTCTCTTTATATACTCTTTATATACTTAGCAGCAATATCTTATGTGACATAAAAATAATAATAAAAAAATCTCCAGAAAGAATTTTGTTGTTATCTCTAGATATAAAAATACAAAAAAGAAAATAATTAAATTTATGTGAATCATTTTGTAAATATTTTTAATAATTTTATTTCATCAGACATTATAAAACATTAACATTCAAATTTAAAAATAAAAATATATATTAAAATATACTAACTTTTTTACATCCAAATAATGTTAGATCACTATCTTCTGTGATAACAACATCAGCTATATCATTAATATTTAAATATGCCAATTGTGCATCAGCTTCATAAGGAGCTGTAATGCAATCAATATTTTCATTTTGACAATATTTAATTAATTCCAGTGCTATTTCATAAGTAATATCTATAGCTCGTTTTAACAAATTTATTCCTTTTTCAGTTTGACCCATTTGTATAAATTGAGTTGCTTTATGACGATTCATTTGTCTAGACCTAAGAGAGAGAAGCAATTTTACTTATTCATAATTTAGAATAAATAAAATTATTATATTAATTCTAATTAAATATATGGAATAATTTTCATATTCCAAATTAATTCTTAAAAATTTGTAATATTTATCTTTTTACTTCCTACATACTCCCGTCTTTTAATTTCTGTTTGCTCCTTGGCGGGCAATCGTCGACCATCGAAGACCAAAATAGGCTTTATCTTATACTTTAAAAGCATATTTATGTATTTCATACAATATAAAACATATCTACAATATAAGAGAAAAACTATTAATCATCACTAATATTTTAAAAGAGAATATCATCAATATCATACTTACGCATTTGTTGTTTGCCCCATTAATAATTTGTCAGCACAAGAAAATATACCTTTATGTAACCAACAATAAGAATCAATAGCAACAGTACAACCAGAAAATTCTCTGATATTTGTTCTTTTAGAAGATTTTTCTAAAAATGGTAACAATCCGCTGATACCCATGTTTACATAAATTAATCCATCTACACAATCAAATGCAATTTACTAACACGATTCCGGCAGAAACAATTGATACTGATACTGATACTCCTAGAAAACGGTCGCGGCTTCTGAACGGCGCCAACACAAACCACGATTCAACCAGCAGAACAAGTCTGAGGGTGCTGTCCCCATAGAACATATACTAAGGAAAGTGAAAACTCTGTATATAAGATGGGCAACAAAAGATGAGACTGTCATCTGGTGGTGGAATGCGAACTAAAGTAATTGTAGGATTTCGTACCACACACACACACACACACACACACACACACACACACACACACACACACACACACACACACACACACACACACACACACACACACACACACACACACACACACACACACCACACT